GAGTTCACGTTTTATTTACTTGTACATTAATACTCAATATAAGCGTTAAATGTTACAAAATGAAAAGGATGTAGGTTCGCACGTCTGAATGCTAAGACGTATTTGTAACAAATCTAAAGATTTACATTTAAAGAACAATAAAGAAAACTTAAATGCTGATTGTGCAAAATTGCAATTTTACCATGACAATGTAGCCTGGATAACTAGCTGGAAAATAAGAAGCACGCTTTCTAGTGCCATTATTTGTTTCAATTGTATATATATTTTTCGTCGAGTCAGTTTTGCAAGAGAAAGTTTTGTTTGGTTGTATGCTCAACCTTTCTTTATGTATGATAAGAGTGGGGTGGTTTCTATCAACCATTCCTAATAAAAGGGGTTGCAACGGTTCATTTAGAAGAGAGATTCATTTTTAGTTACTTTAATTTCCTTCATATGTTTTTTATAAATTTTAAATGCACACGTTCAATTTGTATATACGTATGTAAATAAAAACAGTTAATTTAAAAACAAGTGTTTTCACTACCGAAAATAAGCAACAACTAGTTCGCTCGCCATTAATTTAGCGTGCGACTTGAGGATAAAAGAAAGTTATCTTTCAACTCAATACAAAAATTTCCTCAAGAACAAACATCATTCTTAATTGTATCTTACGAATCGCGAGTTTCTGCAACACATCTGGTTGAAACTACAATAAAAACTTGTCATTGATACGAGATAAAAACTTTTTACGTTTATAGCTCCCTAAATATCTCAGCAATCTATGTTACTGGAGCGCAGAAACAGTTCCCGGGAAGTAAAATAACAAGTCGGAGATAGTTTCGACTAGATTCGCTATAAAAATTAGGGTTTTGTACAAGTTTACGTTTGCAAACTCAGGACTAGCTAAATATCCTGTATTCGGTTGAAAAATGAGCAGCACCCCACAGTTTTAAGGGAGAAAAACAACTCCTGCGCTTCGCTGGTTTATGTTTGAGAATATATTCATTATCAAGTGACTGCGATGTATCAGTTTACTTACAGAATTTGAATTTAGATACAACTCTAAAGTTTGTTAAAATGCTGTTACAAAATAAAGATAGCTTAAAACATTGGTGTACATTGCGAGATAGTGCCAAAAATAAAGATAATTTAATTAAAAAGAAGAGTACTTGTAAACTCCTACGAGCAAACACTTCAATGAATCACAGAGAGATGATTTCATATTTCTGATAAAGAGAAAAATACCTACCTAGAATGATTAATTTGACTTGTTTATCAAATTTTTTTTACAAATATAAAAAACACCACTCTTTTTAATAACATGTGCTTAATTATTCTGTACTATTGTCCATAGAATATATAATTCATCAATATTTAACTACCCCGCCTCATATATAACAAGACATAACGCCCGGTTGACCCCGTTCTTTCCCCAAATAGGTACACTTACATCCGCTAATAAGTGGTTGAGAGATGAGAGATTACAGCACAGTTCTCGGAAAAACAACTTATTATTTGACATTAACATCATAACAAGATGATTGATTCGATCTGTTGAACAATATATATATACACTCAGAAAAATACAGGACCATTACATTTTGCAAGCAACACCCTAGAAGTAGGTACTTAGTAAAAATGTTTAAGCAACTTTTAGCGATTGTTTTTCTTGCATTCATTTCGTCTTCTTATTCACAATACATCTCTCAAGGTCAGTGTGAAGACAGAAAAATAAAACCAATAACCGATTTTCCAGGAGTTAATTACGTAAGTTGACTTTATTTTACACGTCACATTGTTCACGTGAAACTCGAGTTATTATAATTTAACAATGAACAATTAACAGATGCTAGCCAATAAACCTTTGTATGCTTAGTGCCACCCGGGCTTCGAGGTTGAAAAAATGTCCGGCATTTTAGAGTTTAACGATGGCTTCGATTATTTATTTACGATAATTTTAGCTAGACGCGATATTTTATTTTTCAATGTTTCTAAAATTGTTGACTTTGCGATTTCCTCATTTCGGACATCTGCTCCTGTTGAGAGAATTTATTCAACACTTTCAACAACATTTCAGAACTTTTTTGTGGTTGATTTTACGATGTAACTAAAACAGAGGCAGACATACGAAATATTTTGTATCTTAATAGAACAGAAATGGCCATATGAATTTTACAAAACGTGACTACTTCTTTATTACACAGTTATTATATTTTGGTATTATTTTTAAAAATTACTCAATTAATAACAAATTATCCAATTCATTATAATTGTTTTTTGAATAGTATGGAACTATGTGGAGATGGTTCACTGTGTTTACTTCCAACATCCAGATCGACTGCCAGTATCTAAACTTTGAAAGACCCTCATCTGCATCCTCAAATGTAATTTCGCATCAGAAATATATACCAATAAAGCAATGGTCTAAGTCTAATGGTGTAGTTACATTGGCTAGTGGTAGTGGTCAAGGAACCATAGATATAAAATTCGAGAAATCTGTCGATCCAGTGCAATTTACAATTCTCGGGTACAATCATGAACAATACACCATTGATTACTATTGCGAAAATATAGACTTCGAACGCAGAAAAGGTAACAAAGCGCATATATAAAGTAATTTCTTTCTATAACCTCATAATCGCGATTATAAACTTTATATTTATGAAGACAGAATTAAATTATTTTGTGGACGAGAGGTAACAATAAGTTTATTGAACACATGGCACATGTTAAATTTGCCGATGATTCGTCCTCTTAATTTTCCATCATCATCATCTTCCCTATCGTGGAGTAATCTTCATTTCCCTTAAACTACCATATCCTGCATCCTTAACTGTTTGTGAACGATAGTCTAATGTAGATCTACCTCCACTTCTNTAAGTCTGACGGCGTAGTTACATTGGCCAGTAATGACGGTCAAGGTATCATAAATGTAAAATACAACAATGCTGCCAACTCAGTGCAATATAAAATTCTTGGGTTCAGTTACAATTGGTACACTATCGATTACAATTGCGTTAATGTAGACAGCAGCAAGTAAAAATCAATCGTTAGAATTTAAAATATATAATTATTTTTTGCTTTTCCAGAAATATTATATGCCAGAAGCAGGACTAGGGTCTTCTCAAACGAAAGTGCCGCTAAAGTTGCGAAAATTCTTGAAGATAATGGTCTCGGCGATATAGAAAAGACATACGTTGTACAGGACCCAGGTGCATGCTTATTTTAAAATAAAAGTAAATTTGTGAAATTTATACGAAATAAATATTAGATCCGTTGGCAAGTGAATGAGTTTTTTAATTAATTTCTTCTTTTTTTGAATAAATAAAAAGTTGTACCAACACAAGTTAAATATCAAAAAATCGACAGAGCCACACAGTCTTGGAGTAGGCTACAAGGTTCCAAGTTCGTCAAACCCTATACAATGGCAAAAATATACGATTCATTCCTGACAATGATTTTAAGACTCAGTCGGGGTAGTTTTGGCTAAAACTGCTGTAGAAACTCAGGCAGTAATTTTGGGATTTGTAACTCGCCAAATATTCCATTTTGGGTCAAAAATTGATAGGCGACACACAGCTTGTTTATTACGCCTTAACTGGCCAAACGATTATAATGAAATTTTGTAGAAATAGAAAAATTAGTTTTATGTGGTCGTCGATCCTTCATATTTGTCAACAACGAAAGCGAAGCCGCGGGTAAAACCTAGTATAGATAAGATTCTAATGTTTGTTAAAACGCAATAACAAAATACAAAACTGAAGTACATCCATTCAATAATAATTACGAGATAAAAAGACAATAAAATTAAAAAGAAGGGTACTTGAGGTTCTATACGTAAACACTTGTGTTAATTTTTAATCATTTATTAAGAAAATTGAGAAAAAGGTAGTTATTTTTATAATTAAAACCGATTTGCTGAAGAACGAGAGAGCGAGAGAGACAGATAGAGAGAGAAAAATACACGTACACCCACTTAAAGAGACACAATTAGATTAATTAAATACACAAGAAAATGCTTTTCGTTATAATAATGACTACTGAATTATTTAATAGGGTGGTCTATCAATTTTTCACCTACCCAACCCTCACGTAATAGCATCTTAACGTCCGGCTAGACATCCACCTCCCCTAATTAGCCTTAATTAATTAACTTACAAATAGGAGATAACGACACAATTCAGCACTTCATGAAACAATAGGATTAAAACAATAGGATTAATCAATTTGATTTCTTCAACAACTTTTCTTCGCATATATATATATCTGCGTCCAGAAAAATGAAAAACAATTACACCTTGCGTTGTTATAGACTAGAAGTGCTAATAAAGATGTTCAATCAACTTTTCGCGATTGTTTTTCTTGCGTTAATTTCATTTTCTTATTCACAAGTCGTCTCCCAAGGCCAATGTGAAGACAGAAATGTAAAACCGGTACAAGATTTCCCAGGGGTTAATTACGTAAGTTGATTTTATTTTAAACTAGTTTTTACTCATTATTTCGTTCACGTGAAACTTGGGTTGTTATAATATGAGAATAGAATAAACAATTTTAATAAAATAGCCAATAAAGCATGTAATAAACGGACAGGCAGACACACGAGTGATTCTCTAAGGGTTCCGTTTTTCATTCGGGCTTCGGGGTTGAAAAAATGTCCAGGATTTGAGAGTTCGACAACTGGCTAAGATTATTCAATGTTATTGTTAGACAGATCTGATATTTTATCTTGCAATGTTCCTAAAATGGTTGACTTTGCGATGTCCTACTATATGTAATCTGTGTTATATTTTTTTTTTGAAGTGAAACTTCTTTACGCACGGTAGGGTAAGTTCGTTTCATGCGAGTTGCTATGTAACGAAATCATGCAACGCATTTCCCCCGCTGTCTGTCCCTATGTATGCTTAGATCTTTAAAACTACGCAACGGATTTTAATGCGGTTTTTTTTAATAGATAGAGTAATTCAAGAGGAAGGTTTATATGTATAATACATGCATAATATAGTAGAGAAACACTGATAATTTTAGAGGTTTGTAATGTGATGTCGTAAATAAACACATTTTTTTGCGCTTACATTGCAAACGCTGGCTGAACCCTACGAGATAGATCAAAATAATATACTACAGTATTGTACACCTTAAAAAGGTCTACAAAAAAGTCCGCGATGGTATATGTCTATCTCTTAGGGATAACCCACAATAACCATTTTTTATCCTTTACTTTTTACGAGAAATAATGGCTTATTTACGAAGCGATTTTAAGCAATACAGCATTAATCCTTATCCAATTAAGTACTTTTAAATACATTGTGCATTTAACATAGATCAATATGGCCCTTTACAGCATGCAATTTAAATGAATATTTTCGAAGATATTACAGACTTAAAATATTGTATAATTACACGCTGTATTTTTTTAATAGTATGGAGCTAATTTGAGGAGATGGTACACTGTATATAGTTCCGACAGTCAGGCCGACTGCGAGTCTCTAAACTTTACAAGAATATCACTTACATCCTCGAGAATCTCTTCGGTACATAAAAGCTCTAAGTCTGATGGCGTAGTGACATTGGCTAGTAATGACAGTCAAGGGATTATAAATGTAAAATACGACGATTCCGACGAAGCAGTGCAATATAAAATCCTTGAGTTCGATTATGATCGCTACACTGTCGATTACAATTGCGTTAATGTAGACAGCAACAACAAAAGAGGTAAGCATGAACATTTAGAAAATATTTTTTTTTCTTTAAGTCTTATACAGAGAACGTTAATGTTTGGATTTATGACGAAAAATTTTGTGTTCACGAACTCATTCGTTAGTCTTTAGGATATTCAACTATTTTTTTGATTTCGCAGAAATATTATATGTAAGGAGCAGGACTAGGAGTATTGATGACGACATAGCCCGAATTCTGGAAATTCTTAGAAATATGGGTCTCGCCAGTAGAAGCACGACATTCGTTCAACAGGACATAGCAAGCTGCTTGCCATAGGACGACAGTAAAATATGCATTAACGAAATCAATCAAAATTAAACCTGTTAGCATTAGGAACACGTTGTTATAATCGTAAACACTTGGATAATGTCAATAAAGCATAATTAATGTAATAAATGGCGAATTAACTTTAATGTGTGAGTGGTTGTCCAAAAATTCTTTAAGGGTTAATATTGGAAAAACTAAATTGACTGAACTGATTTTACTGCGGGGTGGATTAAAAAGTATAAATATCTTGGAGTGCTTATAGATAAAGTTATTGTAATATGGGTTTAACAAAATTACTCCTAAAACTGATAACGAGAAAAACTATCCACTGCGCTATTTATTTCACTGCTACCACTGTTAATTTATTTCTCGATTCACTTCTGCAACGGTCAATTTATTTCTCCTCCTTTCGGCGATCGTCTCTTCCCTTAAATCCTCTTTTGTTTACTTTCGCGAACCTTCTGGAAAACATTCGGATAGTTTACTTTTTCTTTGAACTGTTTAACCGCTTTCGCAGAACGCAGGTACGACACACACATTTACAAATACGGCGCACATGAAAAGAAAGGCGCCTGTGGCTAGTCGGCGAATCGATAAGCCGTTCATGCACACGTGTACCCGATCGCACACAAACACACTCGTGCTCGCTACATTATTGCTTATGTTTTACAGATACATAAATAGTAAAATTGCCGAAAAAGTAAACATTATATATCTATATCAATAGTATTGTTTAAACTATATGTAAAACCCCATTTGCTATACTGTTCTATAGTTCTAACTGTAGTCACTAAAAATGAGAATGTTTACAACTACAGGGAACCTTAGAGAAAGAGCAGGTATTTGGCTGGAGTCACTGCAATCCTTATCGTGCATGAGATTAGGATGATTTTGGAATAGGTTGACCATTCTAACTTTGGTAATTAATTAGAACTAACTAATATTTCTTTTAGTTATAGTTAAATTCGAGTGGAGGTGCGTGTCCAACCAGTCTTAGGATCAGCGCCCCATGACTGTGGCTACTCAATTGTTTGTAAATCGTTCGTGAATTATGAATTCTATACGCAAGGAAAATATTTGCGACTCAATATTTTTGAGGAAAAAATGGAAAATAAATTTTCAATGCCATCTATATAGTGTATCTATAAGTATTCTTAGAGTGAAAATTACTTTAAGTATCTACTCCTGTTATTATCATTTTCAATATAAGATTACTGATGTTTACACTAGAGGGCACCGAATTTTCGTTTTTTTTCAAAAAATAAACATTTCCTAGATCGAGCGTTCACCATGTTTTAAATTTCACCGATCCAACCGTTTTCGAAAACGCAATTACAAATATTACTCTTTTAATAATATATAATTACAAACACTACTTAAAACATTACAACGCTCTCTTCATTTTATTGTAAAAAAAATTTACAACAGGATCTATGCACTATATTTACTTTGCGAATGAATTGCCAAAATGTAATAAAAAAACCACCTACTTCACCTGAATAGCTTCGAGAGATATATGGAGTTTCAGGTTCGACCTGCAGTAAAACTTGTCATTCGTATATGAGAAAAAGATGTTTTAGGCTTATAGCTCTCCAAATATAATATTTTCCGTCGAAAAATAATCAGCAACACGTATTTCTAAAGCGGAAAAACAGTTCTGGAGGTGTAATATACTAAATCGGGGGTAGTTCAGACTCGATTGTAGTTTACTGTCTTATATCCAATTGAACATCCTAAATATCAAAATATTGACAACACCCCACAGTCTTGGAGTAGGGTAAACAGCTTCAAGTGCGTCAAATCCTATACAATAGCAAAAATGTTAGTCCGATTCCATTCCTAGCAATGGTTTTTAGACTTTTAGACACGCGCCCAGAGTTGCAGGGCAAAGTTTCGGAGGTGTGAAATACTCGGCCGGGGTAGTTCTAGATAAAACTGTTGTAGAAACTCAGGCAGTAATTTTTAGATTTGTAACTCGCCAAATATCCCATTTCGGGTCAAAAATTGATACGGGATCCACAGTTTGTTTATTACGTTTTCACGCCTTAACTGCCCAACGGATTATCATGAAATTTTGTACACACATTGTCAGGAGTACAGAAAAGGACACAGGGTACCTGTTATCCAGAAAAAATACTGTTCCCGAGGGATAGAAAAATTTGTTTTATGTGGTCGTCGATTTTTGATACTTGTCAACAACGAGAGGGAAGCCGCTGGTAAAACCTAGTATTCAATATAGATAAGATTATAAAGTTTTTTAAAAAGCAGTAACAAAATACAAAACTGAAGTACATCCATTCAATAATAGGTACGAGATAAAAAGACAAAAAAAATCAAAAGACAGGTACTTGAAGCTCTATACGCGAACATTTCCCTGTATCAAACATTTTTAATCATTTATTAAGGAAATTGGCAAAAAAGTACAGTTTTTTTATAATTAAAACCGATTACTGTATGAATTATTTTATCATTGACTGAAGGGCGAGAGATAACTGTACATTTTCCTTAAAAAAATACCTACACGTACTTAATGAGACCCGATTAGATTAATTAAATGCAAAAAAATGCTTTTCTCTATGATAATAACTATTGAATTGTTTAATAGGGTTGTCTATAAATTACGTACCAAAATTCCTCAATTTTTCACCTTCTCAGCCCTCACGTAATAAGATTTTAACGTCCGGCTGGACACCCACCTCCCTTAATTAGCCTTAATTAATTAACTTACAGATCAGAGATAACGACATATTTTAGTACTTAATGAAACGATAAGATTAATTAATTTGATTTCTTGAACAAATTATTTTCGCATATATATATGCGTCCAGAAAAATCCAAGACAACTACACTTTGCGTTGTAACAGACTAGAAGTGCTAACAAAGATGTTCAATCAACTTTTCGCGATTGTTTTTCTTGGATTAATTTCATTTTCTTATTCACAAGTGGTTTCCAAAGGCCAGTGTGAAGACAGAAATGTAAAACCGGTACAAGATTTTCCAGGGGTTAATTACGTAAGTTGACTTTTATTTTAAACTATCTTTTACTCATTATTTCGTTCACGTGAAACTTGGGTTGTTATAACTTAAAAATTAACAATTTCAAAAAAAAAATAGCCATTAAAAAGCTTTGTAAGAAACGGACAGACAGGCACACGAATGATCCTATAATAAGGGTTTCGTTTTTCATTCGGACGTATGGAACCCTAAGCCAAGAACCAACTTAACATTGCAGTAGAAGAAAACATGTTCTATTATATTCTGTATTTTCTGTATTTCTTTCAAAATTTTACGTTCAGTAGTTTTGTAGTTCTTACTTGTTGTAAGGGTCTCAAATATATATACTTTAAAATAAACAGTTGTAAAGTTATTTAAGAACATCTATGAAAATTGACCATTCCCCCCACCGTACAAATCGAGTATCGAAAATTTTCCCGCTCTTTTTCCGAGTATGTTTTAAGACTTCCCGCAAAATTAGTTCCCAAAACGTATAATTACAATATTACAATTAAAAAAATATTTTTTTGTGGTGTAATTATAAATTTACAATTTTCGGATTTTTTCCTTAACTTGTAGCGTATTGGCGTCATGTCAAATTTCATGATTCTAAGTCAACAGGAAGTACCTTATAGGTTTGGATTCTCTTGCAAGTGTCAAAATATGCGGTATTAGCCGCCGTACCTCTTGAGAGCATTAACTTAGAAGTTTGATTTTTTCACAGCTTCAAGAGAATGTAGACCTGAGTATGTGATATAAAATTCAACTTGATACCCCCACGCGTACCTGAGAAAATGGTCTTGATAGACAGACAGACAGATGATCAACGAAGTGTTCCCGTAAGGGTTCCTTTTTTTACTTTCCGCAGTACGAAACCCTAAATATATTTGCGTGTCATTAATATTANACTATCGATTACAATTGCGTTAATGTAGACAGCAGCAACAAAAGAGGTAAGCATGAGCATTTACAAGTCTTATAAAGACAACGTTAAAGTTTGTATTTATGACGAAAAATTGAATGATTTTGTGTACAAGAAATCGTTCGTTAGTCTTTGGGATATTCAACTATTTTTTTGATTTCGCAGAAACATTATACGTAAGGGGCAGGACCAGGGCCTTACCAGACAAGTACGCAAACGAAGTTGAGAAAATTCTTCAAGATAATGGTCTCGGCAGTATACAGAAAACATACGTTCTACAGGACGTAGCAAGCTGCTTGCCATAGGATAACAGTAAAATTTGTATCAACGAAATTGATCAAAAATAAATCTGTTAGCAATGTGAATGAGTTCTTTTAATCGTAAACACCCGAATTTATGAAAATATTGGTAGAATAAGCATTTACTTGTTAATGCAAAATGCACTGGGATGAATGCAGTTCTTATCGTTGATGAGATAACCATTGATAATAATTTTCGTATAAGCTAGATAATCTAATAAAGACTCCAAAATTAAATAAAGTTGGGAAATTGTGAAGAGAAAAAATTAACATCTGTTAGTATTAACAAATGTTACATTTATCGCTTAATAAACGTCTATAAGTAACAAAATAAACATATAAATATCTAGTTCTACGATCTGTCTATTAAGAAACGAAAAATTGCATTATAAACACTATTAGATTCACAATTAATTAATTAAAAATCGCTGACGGGTATTTCGACGATTAAGTCAAATTTCTAAATTTTGTATTTCAACTGATTTCAACAACTTCTCTATCGAATCTCGTATACGTAAATCACTACATAGTATAAAACAAAGTCGCTTTCCCGCCGTCTGTCCCTATGTATGCTTAAATCTTTAAAACTGCGCAACGGATTTTGATGCGGTTTATATTAAAAGATAGAGTGATTCAAGAGGAAGGTTTATATGTATAATATATGTGGTATCGGGAGCGTGTAGGATTAATTAATAAAGTCAAGTTAGGTATTAATAGAAAATAAGATATTACTTAAAATGTTATGAATAAAGACAGCGAATGCTCGAACAACGATTTATAGTTTTATGGTACTCTACCCATGGGGGTAGCAGGTAGCGCGTTTGGAAGTTGGTGATTGATGTTAAGGAAGTCGTTGTTCAGATTGAAAAGAAGAAGGTTGTTCGAGGATCGCGTATGTTTTCTTGTAAATATCAGCTCTGTATATACTTGT